TCAAACGGCTAACCTTGCAGTTAGCATTACAACACCTAACCCACAGCGTCATAAGGGTTCCTTTAGCTAAAGACAAGTAACCTTAATGGGGACTTGTGTTGGAAAGGCTTGGTTTATTTGGGAACAACGTTGGGGAGATCATGTATACAGCTTCCATCCAATGGTCACACACACACACACACACACACACACACACACACACACACACACACAGAGTCCCGAAAAGGCCTTAGGCAGTAGTTAAGGAGAAGCTCTCCGTATAGGACACATGCCCTCCTTCAGGAAGAGAGGTCCGTCAGGCCCATCGTCTCCAAAGTGGAGCGCAGGCAGACACTGCCAGGAGAGTCCTTCAGAAAGTGTGGCTCCAGGTCTACCCACTTCTGCAGGCAGGGTTCCCCTCCAACCCTTTCCTGAAGAGCGCTGCACTCTCCCGTGCACACCACAACACATCGGCAGCAGGGACTCCAGTCGTGTTCCTTTTCAGCTTGGGGGAGCAAAAAGGAAGCCGGAAGAGGCAAGACCTGGGTGCTGGGGGGGGTGGGTGGGGTAAGGTTTCCCAACAGTCTCCTAGGACAACCCTTCTCCCCTCAAAGAGGGATTTTTGTGATGGAAACATGCCTCAGAGCACCTTTCCCGCGCTTGTCCTGTGTTTTTAAAACTCCTTCAGACTGAGCCCCAGGTTCATCCTGCGTCCTTTGAGAAATCTCTATCAAGATTGCCCATCACCTTCTGAGCTGACCTCTCTGCCTTGATTTAGCTGGCCTAGCAGATCTCCACTGCTTTGATTAGACCTTTTCTTTTAAGGGCAGCACAGTGGTTACACATTGGGCTGCAAACGGCAAGGTCGGCAGTTTGAAATCACCAGCTGCTCTGTGGAACAAAGATGAGGCTTTCTACTCCCAGAAAGAGTGGATCTTGGGAAGGAGGGAGGGAGGGGGAAAAAAAGAGGCGCTTATACCAAGGGCTCAGGTAGAAAATGTTTTGGAAATGATCATGGCAACATATGTACAAACATGCTTGCTACAATTGATGTATCGTGTGTTATAAGAACTGGAAGAGCCCCCAATAAAGTGATTTTAAAATAAACACTGTGTTTAAAAATAAACAAATACATAAAAGATCAGTGAAATTTTTTTTTAAGTCTCGGAAACCCCAGGAGCAGTTCTACCCGGTCCTGTAGGGTCGTCACGGGTCGTCATTCACTCGATGGCAGTGAGTTTGTCTTGGTTTACCCTAACAGTACAATAGAGCCATATATACTCCCCTCCACCAAGTCGATTCCAGCTCACACTGACCCTGTGAAGACAGAGCACAACCGGCCTTTTGGGTTTCTGGGGCTGTCAGTCTTTGAGGGAGCAGAAAGCCTGAGTTACTTTATTGTGCCAGCCTGGCCGACAAACACAGGTGGGGTTCATTGAAGGGCAGAGGGATAAATGGCTCGGTGAGCCTCGCCTTTCTAGTTCTCAGGTCTCTTGCTTTCGGATGGTCGGACCAGGGTGCAGCTGCCTTAGCCAGTTCCCTGCTTCAGCTTGCAAGGCTCACTTCCTGCAAGACATCCCTGAGGAGAAGCCACATGGACCTACCCCGATGCAGCCCTGGGTGCTGGAGCAGCCATGTGGAGACCCCTGCCAGCGCTGAGATGCTCACATGCTCACTGACTCGGCTTTCCTCCTGCAGTCGGCATCATTGTGTCTGCTTTATGAGATGGCGGAGGACTTTGTGGATTGGAGTCGGACATGTGGGTTAATGAGTTAATGTTGGACTTGTGGGCTTGGGCAGCACTGGGTTGGGATGTTTTCTTGATGTGCACTTACCCTTTATATAAAACTCTCTCTTATACATGAGTTTCTGTGGATTTGTTTCTTTAAAGTACCCAGACTAGCACACAGCCTGTGGTTGGTGGATTCAAACTGCAGGCCTGGAGGTTAGCAACTCAACGCACAGCCGGCTGTGCACCAGGCTCCTCTCTGAGCCAAGCGCCTTATTACAGAGAGAGACTCTGTCTGCAGCCACCCACTGCTTCAAGGCACATTGAGACGTTTCACTTGAGAGAAAGAGAAACCCTACGGCTTTGCGGATTAGTGGGTGCGGATTAGAGGGTGCCTAACCAGTGCCTGTCTGAGCCAGAACGCCGGCAGGATTTTTTGACTCCCCCTCATATTTATGGTCACTTCTGTTGCGTTGAATTGTTTATGCAGTCTCATAAAAATCGATTGTCGGCTGTTGGTTTCGAACTGCTCACCTTGCTGTTAACAGGCCCAACACATAACCCACCATGCCACCAGGGCTCGAGTACCCAACAGCGGTTGGCACTGTCTTGTGAACGCTAGAGGTGCTCACCCACGCAGAGTGCTGTGACCCATGTCTGTCGCTGGGTGTGTTGTGCACTGTTGTGCGCGATTGAGTCCTGCCACGGGGCAGAGTAGAACTGTCCCCATGGATTTTCTAAGGCTGCACTCTACTACCGGAGCAGACTGCCACCCCACGCCCACCCTTTGCTTAGCCGCTGGGTTTTTAACCACTGTGCCCTCGGGCTACGTGAACACTGTGTAGTGTTGGTAAATAACACCCAACACAATGCTGCTCTTGCTGGTCCCTGCACGGGGTGGGGGTGGGGGTGGGGGTGAGGGCAGTGCTTAGAACGGACCTGCTGGGGGAGAGGCAGCCTTGAAGGAGGTCTGACCATGTACCGGATGCCCCCCTCCCGAGCACTTCTCCCGGGAAAGAACAGAATGACTCCATGGACGTGACTGAGACAAGCTGCAGGTTGGGTCTCCGTGACCCGCACCAAACCTCCTTCCATCCACCCTCCCCTGCCAGGCTCCTGCGACTCCAGGTCACGTGGAGACGGAGGAGGAGACTGCAGAGGGTCCCCATGTCCATCCCCATCGTCAGATTTGTGGGCACCTCAAGGAGACCACCCATCGCAGCTCTCTTCCCACGCCAAAGGCCACGCCAGGGATGGGAATGCACGCTGGACCTGCCCTCAAGACACGTGGTCCCGAGTCCATTCCTTAGTGTGTGACCCTGAGCCGTCACTTTGTTTTCCTCTGTGCCTCCGTTTGCCTCACCTGTAAAATGGGGGCAAAAACTGCTGTGGCCATGAAGGCTGCAAGGGTGGTAGAAGTATCCAGCAAGGACCTGACATATAGAACAAACTTCACTCATGTTTGCGGAATTACACACACACACACACACACACACACCCATCACCAGGGGTAGAAGATGGGGCCCGGAGCTCCCTCACCCCACCAGGTACCCGCTTCTCCCAGAATAGGAAGGGCCAGAGCCTCATTCCCAACTCAATCTGCAGCTGAGAGGGAGTGGGTTCAGCCTGCGCTGAACAACCCCCACCTAGCACCCTCCACACGCCCTTCCTGCCCACCCCTCTTCTGACGGGCTGGGTCCCGACCCGTGGTCCTCTTTCTAGAACCACCATGCCCTGTCTCTCATCCCCCAGGGTGCTGACGCCACAGCTGTGGCCCAGCTGCAGAGCCCAGCCCAGCCGCCCACTGGCCCCCTGCCAGAGACAGGAAGCCAGGGAAGAAGTGCACGCCTGCTGGACGGACGCTGGGCAGGGGTGGGTGCCAGGGGCTGGCGCTGGGCCAGGACTCGTGAATACCGTTAGGTGGAGAGGAGAGGAGAACCCTGGACTGGCCTGCTCTAGGCAGGGTGGGGGGCAACAGCCTAGACGAGGGTGGGGGCTGTCACCACCCTTCATTGTCTGCAGAGCTGTGGGGGATGGGAAGGAATAAATCTAAGGAATGAGGCAGGAAAGTACAGGGCCCTGGGCGGGGGCGTCTGGAAACCTGGGCGCAGTAAGGGTTTGCCACCGCTGTGAACGGGAATGCTTTCCCCTCCCACTGGGGCCCCTTGCCCCTTCTGGCCCGTTTCCCCATCTGTGAAGCTGGAGATGGTCACTGAGCTCGCAGTGGTAGACAAGGAGATCTAGTGGTGGAGGGGAAAAGTCAGTAGTTCGAGCCCACCAGCAGCTCTACTGGACAAAGATGAGGCTGTCTTTTCCCTTAAAGCTCTACAGCCTCGGAAACCAGACGGAGCAGTTCTCTGGTTAATAGTCTCTCTCTCTCTCTCTCTGACTCAGAATGGGCTTCATTGCAGTGGGTTGGGGGTTGGGGCAGACACCACGCGAGAGACCACCCTGGTTAGTAGATAAGACAAACCTCCTACTCTCAGGGGGTTTTCATTCAACAACAAAGGGTAAAGCAGTGTAGCGAGTGGTGAAAGGTCTATGGAGCATATAATACAGCAATGTGAGGGGACAGAGGGGGGGGGGCCTGAGAAGTGACATGAGCAGGGGCCTCCGGAAAGGAGGAAGTGGGGCAGGTCCAGATGCTTCAGTGAGGCCTGAGCACTTTGGCAGAGAGGAAAGAGCACATGCAAAGGCCCCGAGGCAAGAACTGGCCTGGAAAGTTAAAAACCAGTGAGGAGCAGCTTGGGGAGCAGACAGCAGACAGCAGACAAGGCGAGTAGAGCCCAAGCCCTGTGGGCCTGAAGGCCACTGGAATGATCTTCACATCACTCTGGACAATCCACGGGCCCTACGACAGCAGGCCTGGGCTTGGATGGAAAGCCCATCTGAACCTGGGGACTGAGCAGGGAGGGAATAGGAGAAAGAGCCATCTTAAATCTTCAGTCCTTCACCGGGCATCAGGAAGAGCGGGTAACAGGGCCAGGAGGGCCAGGGGAGAGGGAGGTGCTCAGCTCAGGTGCAAAACGCCCTGGTGCAGCATTTCATTGCAAACGTACACACAAACGCCCCAACCAAACATTGCAAGCTGAGCAAGATAGCAGCCTTTTACACCAGAACGGCCACTGCTTCACTTCATGGCAGCCCTGGAGCCCAGCCCTGGACCCCACCGAAGCTGACGTACGGACACAGGCCTGTGGTCGCTCTTTTACAAATAAATAAATAACTGCACCAAATCATGATTTTTCTTTGGTGGCGGTTACAACAGGGCGTCTGTCCCTTTCAGAACTAGATGGCTGGCCGGGTGTTCCTTGTGAACACCTCCTCACGTACTGCTCCCCAAACCAGTGCCTGGCCAGCCTCCCGCTCATCCTGGCCCTACATGAGACCCGCCCTCCAGGTTACACATGGAGGGCCCTGTGGTTCATCGCTCCTGCACTCAGAGAGGTGGAGGAACTTTCCCAAGGAAACACAGCGGGCGGGGTGAAGCTGGGGTCTAGCTGCAGGTGTTGACTTCAATGAGTGCTGATTATAGAAATAAATATGTATATATATACACATACACACACATACATATATATCATTCAACTGTAATAGTTCACACCAAAAAGTATAAGCGCCGTTCATGTTCTCTTTGAAGACTGTTCACACACTGAACACACCTGTGTAACCAGTATGCTGGTATTAAATTTATAGCATAAATTTCACATTTGCAACAAGGCAGACATTCGGTAGGGGGCCTGGTTAGGAGAGCTTTCCAGATCCGGTGACAAGGCTCCTCTGATCCAGTGTTTAGGGGCCTTGGATAGGGACGGAGACATTGGCAGAGGGGCCGTCATCCCCCTCACCCCCAACACACACAGCTGAGGTCTGTGGTTAGAGGCCGGCCAGACAGGCAATGAAGGGCGGAGGGAGACTCTAGGGGGTGTTCCAGAGACATCGTCCACACCCCAACTTGACCTGAGGAGGCAGGTGAGGGCCAGCCTGCCAGCCCAGGTAAGCCAGTAAGAATGTAGCAGCCGCCAAGCCCCGGCGTGGGCGGGTCCGGGTGACTCAGCCCGTGCCAGGAAAGAGGGGCCCGCCCGGCTCCCCAGAGAACCCAGACAGTACCCTGCTCGAGGTCGGCTCCCAGGGCGCCAGGCCAAGCCCTCGAAGCAGGCAGCCCGGCCCCGGGGGCGGGACCCCTTCCCCGGCCCGGCCCCTCTCTCCCGGCCGCAGCCACCCGGGGCCCAGCGCCGCGACGGGGCCGCGGGTGGCAAGAGCGCAGCCAGAGCCGTGCGGTCCGCGCTGGTGCTGGTCCCGAGGGCGCCCAGGGGACCCGAGAGCGCAGTGAGTAGCGACGCAGGGAGGGGGGCAGGAGGACCGGAGGAGGCCAAGCTCCGAGTGCCTCGCTGGCTCCGACCGTCCAAGCTCCTGGTCCAGCCCAGGCCCGGCCATAACGCGGGACGCAGAGGGCTGGCCGGGCGCCACTGCCGCCACCCTAATTGCTCACTGGCCCCAGTGGTGTGGAGCCCAGACGGGCCACGTGTGGCTGAAGACACTGCCACCCCGGCGGGTGGCCCCACCTGAAGATCATCCCTTGGAACCGCCCAGCCCTCCCCGCGCCCCCCCACCCCGCGCCAGCGAGCGGCACACTACACCCCCTCCCCCCACTGCATTCTCTGGGGGACGCGGTCACGCAAAGGGTCTCCGATCTCCCTCGCACTGCCTGGCCATGGCGAGCTCCCACTTCCAAGGAGAGACTTGCTGGCCCTTGGGGAGGGTCCTCTCCCCTCCCCTTTCTCCACGTCCCCCAACCCCAGCGGGCCCCAGGTTCTAGTGCAGAGCCGGACTCGGAGCAGCAGTACTTTCTGTCCGCGCTCGTTTTCGGACGCACGTTCCCACGCCTGGCTGAAGTGGCCGTGGGTTAGGTGGGCTCAGGGTGGACCCGGGACAGCGAGGGGAGCCAGGGCCAAGAGTCCCTAACCGGCTTTCCCAGAGGTGGGGGGTGGTCTCTGAACCCTAGATGCAGGCCGGCGGGCTGAGGACCCAGGTCAGGGCGGGGTGGGGGTGGGAGCTGGGCGAAGGGTGCCTCAAGAATGTGGCCCCCTGGCTCTTGGGGACAACAGCGTTTGGGGGCTGCGCTGATCCAGACAGCTGGCCCCAGATGGCGCGGTCACAGCGACTCGCTTCTCTCGTTCTCCTGACTGCTCGAAAACTTTCGCAGTTTGGGACCGGCGGGGCTCTGGGTCTGGCGCGGGGGCGGGTTTGGGGAGACTGGGGCCTCCCTCGGAGCGCGCGGAGGAAACACGCCGATCGGGCTTCCTGTGGGGGCTCGGGCCGCGGCGCCCCGCGGACAGACGTGTCCGGCCGGCCGCGCCGAGCTGGGCGCGGGGGAGGGGACTCGGGGGGCGGCAGGGGCGGGG